GTGAACCTAACTTATAATTATACGTAATTTTCAGAATCATTATGAATCACCAAATGAGTGATAACAATTTTATAAAGCCAAATTAATTTAGGTGACTCTTGATATAGGACATGTGGCTTCACCCCTCAGATACCAACAAAACGTGGCAGGAGTAGAAGCAACGTGGCTGCCATTAGCCTTTGGCCCTTGGTGAATTGGAGAGGAAACATCTAAGGGGTAAAAACATGTGTCAACAAAATTTGAGAAGTAGAGAACATGTGGCAACGGGTGGCAAGAGGAGGAATTGTCCACGTGTGTGTGTTGCTTGGGCCTCACTCATGATTTTATATAAATAGGATGTGTGTTGTAGGAATAGGCATCCGAGCAATACAATAGTAGAGCAAGAAACACAAGAAACGGGAAGTAAGCTCAAAATAATTTAAGAGTAATTTTTAGGTGAGTTTTATTATACATTGAGTTATTATAATATGTTTTCTACATGTCTTAAGTTATCATAATATATTTTACGAATGTTTTGAGTTACCACAATTTATTTGATATAAATTATGTTTTATGGTTAGGTTAATATTTCAATTACGTGGATTATTTTTTGAACTTTATTTGTTAAAATAAAACCCATGGATATGTTTGTGTAAATTTTAAAGAATATTTGACCATGATCTTGTAAACAATTATCTTGTGTAAGTACCACCACGGGAGTCTCATGCCTTGGGAGACTTAAATAATCATTGGTCCCTGTTTAACTACTTTGTGGTCCCCTGTTTGTCATGGATCCATTGACCTCTGTAGTGATTGTCACTTAGTGACCCTGTTCTGTTTTGCTATGTACCGTGATTACAGTGATTTATTTCAATTTTTGCCACTTAATTAATTTGTGCATTCAACTCAAATTATGTTAATGTTTTAACTTAAATAATTATTCATGGCTATTTTGTGCCCCTATACTCACAGTATAATATTTCTCACTCTGCTATGTGCTTAGAGCTGTTACCCTTTTCAGGTGACGATGTTTAGCGGGATCAAGATGGAAAATAAATCGCTGTGTTGTTTTTTTTAAATCTTTTTTTATTTCTGTCTGTTTTTTTTAAACCCTTGTAATACAATAAAGTTCAAATGACTATGTTTTGTTTTCTTTTAAATAAACAGTTGGTACCCAATTATTTTATTTTAATTTATTTAATTTATCCGCTTGCGCTGCGACTACAGAATTATCCGAATTATTTTATTTTTATCTTGTTATAACGCCGAACCTTTGGGTACCGGGTTTGGGTCGTGACAAGCAGTCTATAAAAGATTGCAAAAGTACTGGAAGCCTTCAATGTGCGCTCGAGCGGTAATTAGTCCGCTCGAGCGGTCTATAAATTTCCAGAATTTCGAATTTCTCAAAAATGGTTTCCAAATGCATCTTTCAATATTTAAACTCACATATCTTGATCAAAACCTTAAAAATACTTTACAAAACATAAACACTTATTTATTTATAAAATCATTTACTCAAAATCTCAACAAGTTGTCAAAACTTAATTCAAACTCCATGCATTCAAATATTTTAGAACTTCTTTTTCTTTGAAGAATAAGCATGAAATTAAATATGAGACTCATGAATTTAGTATTTCCAAACCACTTCTTCACAAAAACCCATGAACTCATGGCTTCTAAAATTCTTCTTCAAAATCAAATGTACAATGCAATTGCATGTAATTTTTTTTTTTTTTTTTTTTGAAGCTTATTTTAACTTTCAAAATCAACACCAAAATAATTAATTTCTAAATCAACTTTCATAATCTTGAATCTAATTCAATTTCTTCATCCTTTTACTAATTTCTTTCAAATTACATGAAATTGATTTCTAACTCTTTTCTATTTTCTTTAAATCATGAAATTGAAGTTATAAAACTCGTAGAGAAATATTTGCATGTGTGAAATTAGGATCAAAATGAAACCATTTATATCAAAATTCCTTTAATTCAAGATTAAACTCAAAGTGCTCGTGAATTCATCATTTTCCAAAACTTGCTCCTCTTATACCAAAACATGGAATAAATCTTTCTCATCTTTTAAACAATCTAGGATGCATGTAAATATGGAATTCAATTTCATGAAAAATATCAAAACCAAACTCAAATGATGAATTACAAAAATAATCTCGTAGAATTTGATCTTAACTCAATTTTTAGCCCAAACCTTAATGTGTGAGTAAAAATCTGACCACACTACTTGCTTAGTGATCAACTGGAGAGCACAGGCGGAATAGATGGCTTCAGCAACCTGTAACAGAAAGAAAAGGCTCCGGCGGTGGTTCTTCCACCTGGGGGCACTCCGACGATCAAGTCAGTATATCTCTCAAAGATAATCAAGTGCTAAACTTAATACTCAAAACATAAATTGCATACCTTAGACCCACGGGGGTGCCTCTCTTTTATAATATACTCAATCCAAGTCCCACTAGAAGTATGTCTTCTATGGACTCCAATTTTGTGCTTACTTTGGACTCCTCAAGAGATAAAGACAAACTCCCTAAGAGCTTTATCCTTATCTTGGTTAAGTCCCCTCTTCGTCTTAGGACTCTTGTCCCTTATCCGTTTATCTCGGACCCCGATATTTTCGGAGATAACCTCGGCAATACCGAGATCACCTCGGCCTAACTACCACGACACGTGGCACCTCAGCTTACACGTCGGCGTCACCATGCCACGTGTTGGTATTCAGAAAATATATCCCCACAACTGCCCCCTAGGTTCTATTACCTCGGCACTCTGAGGTGATGGAATATTGATATTTCTTTCTGCATTGTGGCCAAGAAACTGTTTGGCCGAGATAATTCTTTTCCAAGCCGATGTGTTTGCTTCTGAGAACAAGATTTCAAATGTACTCTATCACGCGCATGAGCTGTCATGCACATCTAACCGTTCCTTTCACGTGCTCTGTTTTTATTGGAGCGTGTCTGTGACGCGCCTAAAAGATGTCTGTCATTTTTCTGCGCTGTCTGACGCGTGCGTTGCTCCAGGCATAATAAATGCCCTATTTTTGCCGCCGTTTCGAGTTTTTGACAAAACTTTCCCTTGCCCCCCTTCTTTCTTCACTTTTTGCATCCTGATTTCGTGCTTTCTCTCTCTGAAACCCCCTTTTTTCTTTCGAATCTGCCATTGCTTCCATCTCCCTTCTGCAACTGTCTTTAATCTTCTATTCTTGCGAAGCTTTCTTTGCCGTCACAACCGACATCTGATTTCGGCGAATACTGCTTCGGCTTTATCTGTTCTGGTAAGATTCTGCTCCTTTTACTTTTAGTTCTCTTTATGTGCTTTCGTCTGCCTGTTGTCATTATTGCTTCGTCCAAAGCCTTGGATTTGCTTGTATCTCGAATCGTAGCTATATCTTGAATTCTTGCATTATTTCACCACTTTTCTTGCCATAATTCTTGATCTTTAACCCTTTGTATTCTTCGTGTTTCTGATATTCCATGGTTGTTCTTGAATCTGAAACTTTGCCATTGTTTTCCTGTTTTGTTTTGTATCTGTTCCAGATCTGTGCCTTCAATTTTGCTCTTTATATTTCTTTGGCCTGGGATTTGCGTGTAGAACCTTTAATCTTTTAGGAAAAACTGAAACAAGCCTTGTCAGTCCCTCCCTTGGTCTTTGCTGAGGTTCTTGCAACCCTTATTTGAACGCCTGTTTTCTGTAATTCATTCTTCTTTTCTTTTGTTTAAGTTGACATAATGGGTATGTGGAGGCATAGGGTTAATACCCCAACAAAACTTGAATACTTTAGGTAGGAATTCTCTATCCCAGCCGATGTTCACCTTAAGCTAGCTGGGGATAATGATACCATTATGCCCACAGACCATACGATGCCCTTTCCTATAGTGGCCTTCACTGAATGTGGACTTCGGCTTCCACTTGATCCCCTGTTTCGTGAAGTTCTTTATTTCTACAAGCTGAACCCCATGCAACTTACTATCAACTCCTATAGGGTGATTAACGGTATTATAGCTTTAGCTAGGCAAGAGCATCTTAGGATCACCCTGGCCGACCTCCAGTACTGTTACACAATGTGCCCCCTCAATCTGAAGGAAAGGGGCTTTGTTTATTACCTTAAGCCGAGGTCTACCAAGTACAAAATTGTAGCCGACCTCCCAGACTCCAACAAGGGGGCTGGGGATGATTTTGTTATCGCTTCTGGGAATTGGGAATTTGGCCCAGATGAAGATGTCCACCTCTACCCTCTTCCTCGATCAGTAAAAGAGGGCAAGGGTAAGAGCCCTGAGCCAACACTCAGTTGTCTTTATTTAAGCTTTTAATATTTTCTGTTTCTGACGTCTGTTTCTTTGTTCTGCAGATCTTCATCAGCCATCGAAAAATTTCCGTCAATCCTTTTTCCCAGGAACAGATCTGAAAAAACTCCTTAACCTTCCAATCCATAGACGAAAAGCCCCACTGTTACTAAACTTCATCCCTACATATAAATCCACTTTACCTGATATCCCAAGAAGGAAGAAGAAAAGCCTCTCTCCACCTACTGCCACAATTGTAACCGCTTCTTCATCCCGAACAGATCAAGGATCCACCTCCGACCCAGCCGATCTTCCATCTACTTCGGCCCCCTACTTAATACCAATTCCAGAACGTAAACGTCGACGAAGACTTGTGAAGATTACCGAGATGGTTCTTCCAAGGCCTGTCGCTTAAGATCTTCTTGCCGACCTTCCAACTGACGCCGATGCTGAACCAACGCATGTGATGCTCCCACCAAAGCTGAAGAGAGTAAAAAAGGTTCAGCCCAAGGCCAAGGCTACTGATGCCGAGGCTGAGGATGCTTTGCCTATTTCCCAGCTGGCAGAAAGCAAAAAATCAACCTCTGCTTCCACCAAGAGGTCTGCTGAGGCCCAACCCTCAGGGTCTACACAATCAAAAAAGCCGAGGTCATCGTCTGCGACGACTTCGGCGTCCAAGAAGGCCGATGTTCCATGGGCCCCTCAACTAACTCTGGAGGATAGGCCTATTATGGCCAGCGAAAGTGCCGACGATATCAACGTTGGTGTCGCCGTCAGCACTGCTCTTCTCCTTCCGAAGGACTTGGAGCGAAATGCTAAGCTCAGTGAGTATGAGAATTACGCTCTTATGCTCCAACACTCCGTTCAGGTAAGTGTTCCTGTTTGCACTTGTGATTTTTTCTTCTGTTTCTTACTGATAACATTTTCTAATACTTCTGTTTTTTCTATAGGCTATCCAACATGCCCATTCATTTTCAATGCAATCTTTTGAAAATCGTCAAAGATTGGTTGATATGAAGAGGGAGACGTCCTCTCTAAAGAAAGAGATAAAGACCCTTGAATCAAAAATGAAAAAACTGGAGGATCAGGGCGAGGCTGCAACTAAAGCCCAAACTTTAGCTCTTGAGAAGGCTGAATCCGCTGAGGCCGTCAAAAAAGTTGCTGAGGCCGAGAAAAGAGAGGCCGAGGCTAAGAAGGCCCAGGCGGAAAAAGAGCTCCAGCAAGCTCTGGCCAACAAAGAGGCCGAAGTCAAAGAGGCCGACGAAAAGGCCTATGCACAGGGTATGGCTGATGTCGCTGAGCACTATAAACTCCAAGTCAGGCAGGCATGCAACAAGGGATTTTCCCTTGGCTGGATGGCCCTGATAAAGAAGCTTGATCTTCCTGCTGACTCGCCATTGCGCCGGGCCGACGCTATTCCTCTACCATTTCCCCCACCTCCACCTGAAGGCGAATCAGAGTCTGAGGCTGATGCTGAGGATGAAGATAAGGAGATCAATGAAGAAGCCTTGGTGAGAAAACCCAAGGATGCCGACGAAGCCAAGTCCCCTCCTCCACCTGAACAGGTTATGGGCTTAACCTTGGATGAGGAGGGTGATGAGGCTGAAGAGGCAGCCAAGGAAATTGTCATTGGGCAGCTATCGTCCGATCTTCTCTTGGCAGAAAGAAGTGTTGAGAATACATTAGCAGAGATTGATGCCGAGATACAAGCGGAAAAAGTGGCCGACGAGATTCCACCAGAGTCGTCCGAGGTCCCAGTCCCTGCAGCTGCTAATACTGAAGAGTCTTGAAAAATGCCTTTTGTACTTTTTTTCTTCTTTTTCTGCACTTTGCACTCTGTACTCTCTTTTAATTTCTGGACAATGTAAAACTTCTTCTTATGGCCGACGTAACTTTTTCACTATGTAACTGCAACTGTTCCTTTCACAGATGTTTTTAATCTTGTGACGTTCTGTTGATTGTCTCTGTCATAGTTCTATACGTAGAAATTTTTCTTTGTGCAATCTTCTCAGGGTTACATACCTCGGGTATAACTACTAACTTTTACTTCGGCAAGATGCTGACCTGCAAACCTTGCATAATTTTAACAAGTATAAAACATATAATACTTAATGTAAACTTTGCAAGCTTCTTCTCAAGTTTCAACAAGTATTAAACAGGGACCTCGGTCTAACCTACTTGTAAATTGCTACAAATTTCAACAAGTGTTAATCATATACTGCAAATTTTTCTCAGTGTTAAATAATAATCTGCTTGTAAATTGCTGCAAATTTAAACAACTGTTTAAACAATATACTTAGCTTTTACTTCAACCTGAAAATTTCTGTACACCTCAGCGGGTGATCATATGACGGCTTAACAAAAACTTGTAAATTGCTACAAATTTGAACAAGTGTTAAGCATCTTCCTTAAGGTGAAGCAACCCACATATTGCTTGTGAGATTTAAGAAATAATCATCGGCTTAACTTCAACTTGTAAATTGCTACAAATTTTAACAAGTGAAGATAAGGAATCAGCTTAATTCCAACTTGTAAATTGCTACAAATTTCAACAAGTGAATTAAGGAATAATTTCTGCCTTTTCTTTGCCCCCAATGTGAACCTGAGTTTGACTTGGGTTCACATTAATTATGTCCTCAATAAACATTAATGCATAACTTTATCAATCATATGTGTTGAAAGAATTCTGAAAAGACTTTATTGATGATATCGGCCAAAAATTGATGCACATCTAATGATAGAAAAATTTCAAATTACAAGTATTCCAAGGTTTGGGTAATGCTTTGCCCTCATCGTCTTCGAGCCGATAAGCTCCATTGCCCAATATTGAAGTAATTCTGTAGGGTCCTTCCCAGTTTGGGCCAAGCTTGCCTTCCCTGGGATCTTTTTTGTTCCCAACGACTTTTCTTAGGACTAGGTCGCCGACTTGAAAATCTCTTGGATTGACCTTCTTGTTGTAAGCTCTGGCAAGTTGTTGCTGGTATACTGCAAGCTGAATTGCAGCTTTCTCTCTTCGTTCTTCTAACAGATCCAGATTTCGGGCTAAGAGTATGTCATTGGTGCCATTCTCTACTCCCTGGGTTCTGATCCCTGGGATGCCGATCTCCAATGGGATGACTGCTTCTGTGCCATAAGCCATGGCAAAGGGGGATTCTCCTGTTGATCTTCTCGGTGTAGTCCGATATGCCCAAAGTACGTTGGGTAACTCGTCTACCCATTTTCCTTTTGCTGCCTGCAGTCTTTTTTTTATTCCATCCAGAATTACTTTGTTGGATGCCTCTGCTTGCCCATTGCTTTGAGGAAAACTTGGTGTTGAGAAATAATTCTTGATCTTGAATTTTGCACAAAAGTTCTTGATGAGTTTGCTGTCAAACTGTGTTCCGTTGTCGGCAACTATTGCTCTTGGGATCCCGAATCTGGTGATAATGTTTCTCCATATAAAATTCTTGACATCCACATCTCGAATTTTGGCAAGAGGTTCTGCCTCTATCCATTTTGTAAAGTAGTCTGTCGCCACCAGCAAGTATTTTCTCTGTCCAGTTGCCTGGGGAAGTTGTCCAACCAGATCCATGCCCCATTGGGCAAACGGCCAAGGGCTGGATACTGGGTTTAGGTCAGCAGCTGGCTGATGTATCAAAGGTGCAAACCTTTGGCACTGTTCACATTTCTTCACATAGGCTTCGACATCCTTTTGCATGTAGGGCCACCAATACCCCTGGGTAATGGCCCTGTGGGCTAATGATCTGCCCCCAGTATGGCTTCCACAAATTCCTTTGTGAATTTCGTAAAGAAAATCTTCAACCTGCAAAGGGTGTACGCACCTTAAAAGCGGCCCAGTGAAGGACCTCCTGTAGAGATGGCCTTCTGCTGTTAGACTGAATCTAGCCGACTTTAGTCTGATTTTATGTGCTTCCTTATGGTCTTCTGGCAGCTTCCCCTCTTTTAGGAATGCAATGATTGCATCCATCCAGCTTGGTCCTAAGTCCACGTACATTGCTTCTTGTTTGGTGCTCTGTTGCTCTATGCTCGGGGCCGACTTGTAGTCAATCATAATTGTCCTTGTTTTTCCAGTTTGAATTGAACTGGCCAGGTTAGCTAACGCGTCGGCGTGGGTGTTATCATCTCGGCTAACTTGGAGTAATCTGCAGTTCTGAAATAGAGCTGCCAATCTGATGACTTCCTTTGCATATGCCGACATTCTTTCGTCCCTGGCTGCAAATTCTCCTGTTGACTAGTTAACAATGAGTTGTGAATCACAAAAAACAATTACCTCATCTGCTTCTGCTGCTGCTGCCAGCTTTAGCCCTGCAATTAATGCTTCATATTCTGCTTCGTTGTTTGAGGCTTTGAACCCCAAACGTATGGACTGTTCTACTATTTTTCCATCTGGAGATATCAGCAGTACTCCTGCCCCTGCTCCCTGGCGGTTTGAACTTCCATCGACGAATAGTCTGAATGAATCGCCGATGTAGATGCTGCAGGGTCTGAGCATCTCCCTCTCTTGCTTTTTTGTCTTTTGCTGGGATTCTTTTTGCTTGTTGGGACAATGCTCATCTTGGCTCGACGGAGCCCGATGTGCGATGGCTTCAGGTGTGAGTTCTGCGACGAAGTCGGCCAAAACTTGGCCCTTTATTGCTGTTCTCGGCCTGAACTCCAGGTCAAACTGGCCCAAGGTTACTGCCCATTTTGCTATCCTTCCTGTTAAGTCTCCTTGCTGCAATAAGGACTTCAATGGGTGCTCTGTTAGGACCACAATCTTGTGTGCCTGAAAGTAATGGTTCAACTTTTTTGAAGCCATTACTAAGGCCAGCATTAATTTTTCCAATGGTAGGTATCTGGTTTCTGCATCGGCCAAAGTTTTACTTACATAATAAACAGCCTTTTGCTCCCCTTTTTCCTCTCGGATTAGCATTGCACTGACTGCGTGTTCTGAGACTGCTAAGTACAAAAATAATTCCTCCCCTGGTACTGGGTTGGAAAGAACTGGAGTTGTGGTCAAGTACTTTTTTAGGTCGGTTAGCGCGGCTTCACATTCTTCTGTCCATAGGAAGTCCGTGGCTTTTTTCACCAGGTTGAAGAAGGGTCTGCATCTATCTGAGCTTCTGCTAATGAATCTGTTTAGGGCTGCGGCCCTTCCAGTAAGTATTTGAACTTGCTTTGCCGATGTCGGGCTCTGTAGGTTCAGGATGGCCTTGATTTGGACTGGGCTGGCCTCAATGCCCTTTCTTGTTACCAGATACCCTAAAAATTTACCTGATCTAACTCCAAAGGCGCACTTTGAGGCGTTGAGTCGGAGTCGATATCTTTTGAGTATGTCAAAGACCTCTTTTAGGTCGGCAAGATGACCCTTTGATTCCTTGGTTTTTAAGACCATGTCGTCGATGTAGACTTCTACTGTTTTGCCAATCAGGTGCTTAAACATCTTTGTCACTAACCTCTGATAGGTTGCTCCTGCGTTTTTTAATCCAAAAGGCATTACCTTGTAGCAGTACAAGCCTTTAGGGGTGATGAACGTGGTCTTCTCCTCGTCTGGAGGGTACATGGCAATCTGGTGGTACCCTCTGTATGCATCTAAAAAACTCATCCTTTCATGTCCTGAAGTGGCGTCTACCAGTTGGTCGATCTTGGGCAGAGGAAAGCTGTCTTTGGGGCAGGCTTTGTTGAGGCTGGTAAAGTCTACACAAACCCTCCATTTGCCATTCTTCTTTTTTACTACTACTGTGTTGGACAGCCATGTTGGGTACTGAACTTCTCGGATGGCCCTGGCCTCCAGGAGTCTGTCTACCTCTTCTTCTACTGCTTCGACGTGCATCAACGTCGGTCTTCTGGCTCGTTGAATCACAGGTTTTGCCGACCTGTCGACATTTAGTCTGTGGCAAGTGACCTCGGGGTCAATGCCTGGCATTTCATAAGGTGTCCAGGCGAACACCTCTATGTTTGCCCTTAAAAAATCTTCCAGTTCTCTCTCTTCTTCTCTAGCTAAGCCTGAGCCGAGAAGAAAGAAACGCTCTTCGTTGCCCTCCTAGACGAAAACTTTTTTTAGCGCCTCTTCGCTCTTTTCGGCTGGTTCTTTCCCGATGTCTTCTAGGACCTCCATGTCCTCATCTTCAATTTCTGCTTTCCTTGGCTCTCGTATACTACAGGTGGACTTCATTGCTGCCATGGAGCAGTTTTTTGCTTGTAGTTGATCTCCTCTGATTTCTTCAATCCCATGCTCTGTTAGGAACTGCAGTAGTTGATGCAACGTTGAGGGAACTGCCCACATTGCATGCAACCATGGCATTCCCAAGATGATGTTGTATGGTGAGGGCGTGTCAATTACCAGGAATTTCGTCTGGATCTTCTTAGTGCCGGCTTGTACTTCCAAGCTTGTTGCGCCCAGTGGCCATGTTGGCGTTCCATTAAAGCCGACCATCGGGCCGCTGGATTGTTCTAAGTCATCAGGGTGAAGGCCCAGCTCCTTGTAACATCTGACATACATGATGTCACAAGAGCTGCCTTGATCTATTAGGATGCGTTTCACTTGGCACTCCCCAACCTGGAGGGATACTACCAAGGCATCATTATGCGGGTGTTGGACCAATTCTAGGTCGGCTTCCGTAAAGGCGATCATTGGCCCTTGGCATTCTTCTGGCCGATGTCTCTTCTCCCCGACTTGGTAGACATGCTGTAAATGTCTTACCTTCTAGGTCTCTCCTCTGACTTCGTTTTCGTTGATCCTTGAGTGGATCACATTAACCACCCTAGGTCCCCCTGCTTGTGGTAGCTGTGCTGGGGGAGGCGGTGCTGC